TTGTGCGGACGTGGAGGGGCTGCATTCCCTTCTACCCTCGATGTTTCCAACTTATTTATTCGGGCATGGAGTCCCTCAACCTCATGTCAAAGTACCCTTTTTACTTCCACCATCATATCTTTCACGAACATTTTGGGGTCAAAGCTTGATACGGATGCCATATCATGTTCCTCGTCACTTCTCTCACCTGCCATAGAAAAATATAGTGGAAATATATATATATATATAGATTGTTAGATAAATGATTTCCTCACCCTCTCGTGTATACCCACGTAGTGTACCTCTCCGTCTTACACACACGCTCAAATTTCACGGTCCTTGGTAAGCCCCTCGAGTTATTTTCACGGTCCTTGGTAAGCTCCTTGAGTTATAGCCAACTAAACTTCACGGAATATAGCCAATACAAATTGACGAGTATACCCCAAGAAGCCAAACTCAACAATAGCAACAAACCAACAATGAAAGCACAACCGCAAGAAAACCGATATCCACAAATAAACAAGTGGATACAATACTCAAAAGCACAATATATTTCAAAAAGGACTTCTCTTTCTTTTTTTTTATAATTTTTTTCTGCAGTATTTTTTTTTAATTTTCTGCAGTATATATATATTTTGCCCAACAATGATAATGCTACTACAAAAATTTAAAAGATCTTAACATAATTTAACAATATGAAATAAAGACTACTAATACTACCGGAATAAGAATTCTAATAAAAACGGGCTCTGATATCAAATTGATGACGCGACCCAAGTAACTAAACTATACTAACCGAAACTTAAAACTAAATTCAAATAAAAAAACTAAGTAAAAAAGAAGAAGATATTACCGGTGTCCGATTCGTCAATCGATCGGATGTGAACCCAAGCGTTGCCTAGACCCAGCACCTCTAAACCAATGGATACTCGAACGATTTGGCTAGAAACTCCGGTTGGTTTCGGAAGCCATGAAACCAAGGAATCAATCCAATGACCCGATTTGAGAATGATACGCGTATGCAATGGTAACCCTCGCTCACACACTAATTCCAATATAATGGAATAAAGAGAAAAACTTTAATTGATATAATTTTCAAGGTGTCTAACAAGTGAAGCCAAGTGCCTTATTTATAGGGGAGACTAACTTGGCAAAAGACTCTACAACCAATGTGGGACAAAAAAATATTATTTATATCACACTAATTAAGTAAATAAGAGATATCCAATTAATTAAATTGAAGGGGTCCACCTTATTAAATAAAATAAAACACCTCTTATCCCACATGGGTAATGATGTGAGTAGAAACTCCCATGGGTGTTATAAATTGTGGTCTTCAAGGGTGGATGCACTCCAATGTTAACAACGATTTTCCCATTGGCCTCCATGCTTCAACTTTATGCATGTTCTCCTCTTCCAAGTGTAGAATTAATGCCATAATATTAGTTTGAAACATTTTGGCACGATTTCTGAGTAATCGGACTTGGTGGTAGTGTAGGTTCATCGTCGCTTTTGACGACCTCGTCAATGTGTGTCGACTACCAAGCTGTCAACGCCATTACGGTAAAGTATCGACACCCTACACCTTGCTTGGATGATATGTTAGACGAATTAAATGGTTATACTATCTTTAGCAATATTGATTTAAAGAATGGATACCATCAAATTCACATGAAAGAATGAGATGAATGGAAAACGGCATTCAAGACCACTTTTGCTCTCTATGAATGGCTCGTTATGCCATTTGGTTTAACAAATGCCCCAAGTACATTTATGCGGCTAATGAACCATGTGCTTCAAAATTTCATTTCAAATTTGTGGCAGTTAATTTTTGATGATATTTTAATTTACAGTAAATTATTTGATGAACATACCAAGCATGTGCATGTTGTTTTGAGCGTGTTGCGTGATGAGAAATTGTATGCTAATCTGAAAAAATATGACATTTGTATCGACAAGTGAAATTTTCTTGGTTTCATTGTAGGCAAAGAATGAGTGATTGTGGATGAAGCAAAGATCAAAGCCATCCAAGAATGGCCGACTCCTACTACCATTCGAGATGTACGAAGCTTCCATGGGCTTGCAAGTTTTTATAGGCATTTCATATGAGACTTCAGTACCATTGCATCACCTCTCATAACAATCACCAAGAAGAATGACAAGTTCGATTGGGAAGTAGAGCAACAACAAACTTTTGATTCACTGAAGCATAAACTTACACATGCACCCGACTTGCACGTCCTAATTTTTCTAAGGCTTTTTGAGATTAATTGTGATGCGTTTGGCGTAGGGATTGGAGTTGTGCTATCCCAAGAATGACGTCCGATGGCATATTTCAGCGAAAAGCTACAAGGGTCTACATTGAACTACTCAACGTACGACAATAAGTTGTATTCCTTAGTTCCATCCTTTCAGACTTGGTAGCACTATCTTCAGCTCCGAGAATTTGGGGTGCATACCGACCACGAGTCACTAAAGCACATCAAATCCCAAGTGAAGTTGAGTGCACGGCATGTATGTTGGATTGCCTTCATTGACACATTCCTATACATTGTCAAGTACAAAAAAAAGTAAGGAGAATGTGGTCGTCGATGCTCTATCTCGAAGGTACACACTTGTTACATTACTTGAGTTCAAATTGATGGGTTTTTCTCATGTGAAAGAGCTTTACGAATTTGATTATGATTTTGATGACATCTATACTGCGTGTGCTGCGCATGGTCATGACAAGTATCATTTACATTATGGCTATTTGTTGTATGAAAATTGTTTATGCACTCCTAGATGCTCACTTAGAAATATTCTTGTGCATGAAACACATTCTGGAGGTTTGATGGTCATTTTGGTAAATCTAAGACTTTGAACAAGTTGCAAGAACATTTTTACTTGCCACACATGAAGTCTGATGTCGAACAATTTATAAATAAATGCATTGTGTGTAAAATAACCAAGTCGGGGAGAGAAATATTCAATATTTGTTGTTGTTGATAGGTTTTAAAAAATGACACTTCTTTCAATGTACGAAAACCACTGATGCCACACATGTTGCTAACTTATTTTTTAGAGATGTTTTGAAATTGCATGGTGTGCCGAGGACAATTGTTTTTGATCGGGACACAAGATTTTTAAGTAATTTTTGGAAAACTTTGTGGGCAAAATTGGGCACTAAATTGTTATTCTCTACTTCACACCACCCTCAAATGGATGGTCAAATTAAATCTGTGAATAGGACTTTAGAGAGTTTACTACGTACCTTAGTCCGTGAGAATATGAAATTTTGAGAAGAATGTTTGCCTCATGCAGAATTTTCTTATAATCGAACTATTCATAGGGCTACTAATTGTTCCCCTTTTGAAATTATTTATGGGCTTAATCCATCATCTCATTTGGATCTTTTTCCATTGCCATGCAATGAGCACAAAAGTCTCGATGGCAAGAAAATAGCTGAATTTGTGCAACAATTACATAGCTAAGTGAAGGAAAATCTACAACAGACTGCTCACACGTATGCGAAACATGCAAACAAAGGCCGGAAGAAGGTTGTGTTCCAACTTGGAGATTGGGTTTGGTTACATTTGCGTATGGAGAGATTTCCAAAAGAAAGAAAGTCCAAGCTAACACCACGAGGAGATGGTCCATTTAGAGTACTTGAGCGTATCAATGATAATGCTTACCGCATTGAGTTACCTGGTGAGTATCAAGTTCATAGAACATTCAATGTTGTTTATCTATCTCTTTTTTATACAGGAGACAAACATCTCATCACAGAGGACTCGAATCTTAAAGAGGGAGAAAATAACGAGGTTGTCTCAAGCAAGGCAATACAAATACCTCAACTACCCTGAACCAATAACTCGGAGCAAAGCACGGAAATTTCAAAATCAAGTTTCAGCCTTGACAACTAAATTGGACGAAGAAAATAAATTCAAAACACAGACATGGAGGCCTCTTTCGCCCTTGTTGATTTTAATCCAGCCGAGTCGAGATCAAAACAAACTTCCGGAATTTGCATTTTCGTTGGCCCCACTAGAGGAGTCCAATCAATGATTTATTTAATGCTATTGAATTTACTATATGACTAGTGAAAATTTCAAAAAGAACTAAATATTGTTGAAATTTCAAAAAAATATAAATAGTGGTGAATTTCCAAAGACATAAATAAAAATGAATTTTCAATGTGACATCAATGAAAGATGATTCCCAAGATGACATCAATGAAAGTAGATTTCCGAGATGACATCAATGAATGTGGAGTCCCAAGATGTGAATGCAATGAATCTAACATGTTTCCTAGGTTGATTGCATTAATTTGTTTCACTTATTTCCTAGATTGGTTTTAATAGTTTTCAACTTTTGCATTTATTTTTCCTTGTCTATAAAAGAGAAAAATTTAACATAATTTGGAATCATCTTTCTTTTGAATATATCTAAACAATAGTTTTTTCCTTAAACTAAGTGTTTGAGAGCGATTCATTGCACTTAGGTTTACCCATCAAATCGGGTCTTTGGTTAAGTCCACAGGTTCGTTGTTGTTGCTTTCAACCTTCGTAGGGGCTTTGCATATTCATTCGAGTTGTCTTTGTTTCGACTTAGTGGGTCTAAGACAAGTTACTTAGGTTCCTAAGCAAGCAAGATATTTTGATACTGCGATTCTCTATCCAGTCTTCGAGCAGGTGTTTGTTGTTTTTTCTATAAATATGTTTATTATTATCCTTTTCCTTCTCTAAAATTCAAAACCCAGAAAATATATCTATATTTTCCTTTAATCGAATGTCCACTTCGGCTGGGCATAAAAAAACGTGAACCACCCCCTTGTTCTATGTAAACTCTTATCATATTTAAGCAAAATCTGGAAATTGATTATGAAAATCCTTTACTGCTCCATTAAGTGTGCATTTCAGTATCATATCAATGGTATTGTTACAGTGCTAAATTGTGCTGGCAGCAATGTCAACACATCTAATATTGACGGGCAACAATCAGCATCATATAATACAAATGCGCAGATAAACTACCATCACATACTTAAAACTCTTATTGATATCAACAGCACAGCAACATCGAAAAGCATTTCAAGAACAATGATGTATAAGGGAAGCATAAAACTCTTGAATCGTTTATTTGTAAACTCAAACTAATTAAGGCCAAAAAGACCAAACCATCGCCTCCTACCACTCAGCTAAACATCCCTCGATCAAAACCAACAATGCATGCATACATACAGCAAGTACTCTTGCAAAACCAACCAAGAACAATGCCACAAGAAAAAACAAAACTAAACTAAACTCAACTCAATTCAAGAAACAAAACAGCACATCGAGAAGCAAGAAAGTATACCATATTCTGAAACCTCAATTCAGTGATCGTGCCTCGCCTGGAAATCCTTCATGAAACTCACTAGCTTCTCCACTCCGGCCAGCGGCATTGCGTTGTAAATTGAAGCCCTCATTCCGCCGACCGATCGGTGTCCCTTCAGCTGCACCATTTTCTCCTTAGCGGCCTCCTTAATGAACTCCGCCTCCAGGTCCGGCTTCAACAGGGTAAAGGGCACATTCATCAGTGACCTCACCGTCTTCCCCACAGGGCACCTGTAGAACCCTTTGCTCCCATCAATGGCGTCGTACAGAATCCCAGCCTTCTTCTCGTTCTTCTTCTCCACCTCCGCCAGGCCGCCCTGTGCGAGCAGGTCATCGAAGACCAGCCCGCACATGTAAATGCCGAAGCATGGGGGGGTGTTGTACAGGGAACTGTTGTCCACGTGGATCTTGTAGTCCAGATAGACTGGCGTTGCTGGCTGCGCGTTCCCGACCAGATCAGATCGGACGATCACGATTGTGACGCCGGAGGGGCCGACGTTTTTCTGTGCGCCGGCGTAGATCAGACCGAATTTAGTGACGTCGACGGGTTTGGAGCAGAAATTGGACGACATGTCGGCGACGAGGAGGGCGTCGCCGGCGGGGGTGGGGTAGTCCTTGAATTCGACGCCGTGGATTGTTTCGTTGGCGCAAATGTGGAGATATTTGGCGTTTGGGTTGTGATCTAGGGTTTCGAATTTGGGAATTGTTGTGTACTTGTCGGACTTGCCGCTCCAGATGGTTTTAGGGTTGCAGAACTTGGAGGCTTCTTTGAAGGCCTTGTCGCCCCAGGATCCGGTGACGACGTAATCGACGGCGTCGTCGGGGCTGCAGAGATTGAGAGGGACGGCGGCGAATTGGGTGGTGGCGCCGCCCTGGAGGAAGAGGACGGAGTAATCCGGCGGGATGTTGAGGAGCGATCGGAGATCCGATTCGGCTTTCTGGATGATGGACATGAACTCCTTCCCGCGGTGGCTCATCTCCATGACGGACATGCCGGAGCCGTTCCAGTTGTAGAGCTCCGATTGGGCTTTGAGGAGGACGTTCTCGGGGAGCGTGGCGGGGCCAGCGGCGAAGTTGAAGACGCGATCTGAGGAGGCGGCGGCGGCGGAGGTGGTGGAGGAAGTATGGAGAGTAGTGGATGAGCACGTGACGGTTAGTGGCCTCCCGGCGGCGGAGTTCGACGGAAAGGAGACGTTTGTGAAAAATGGCTTCGTTTGAGAGGTCCTGGTGACGGAAATGGTTCGTTTCAGGTGGCTGCCGGGGTTGCAGGTAGCGGCAGACATGGCTGCGGCGACCATTTTGGCCTTAATGAAGCAAAGTGTGGGAGCACGTCGGCGGCGGCGGCGGCGGCGGCGGCAAAATGTGGTTGGTGAGAGCAGTGGAACAAACGCACGCTTTCCTTCAGATCTGTACAAAAAACAGAGTGCCTGTTTCTCGCCATTTATAAAGAAAGGTCCTTTTACATATATATATTTGACAGTATATTTATTTATTCCTTAAAATTATGTTAATACTTTTTAAGAACAATATTAATTTTAGTCTAATTATAATTATTTTCATTAATTTTTATTTCATTTAAAATTTTAAATTAAGTTTGATCGGATTAAAAATAAGATTAATTAATTCTTATCATTTTACTTCTTTTGTTATTAAAAAATACTCCCTCCGTTCCACGTAATTTGTCCCTATTTTCTATTTTCATTTGTCCACTTAATTTGTCATTTTTATTTTTGGAATATAATTATGCACTTTAATCGTATTTTAAATTTTAAATTTTATAATTTTTTTAATTTTAATTAAATTATTTACTTATTTTAATCTTAATCTATAATTATTTTTACTAAATAATAATTATTTTTAGTAATATACTTCTTAATTACTTACTAATTATAATTCCTAAATTCTCGTGTCTACAATAATAGTTCCATATTTTCTGGGACGGAGGGAGTAGTATGTTCAAGTGTTTGTTTGATTACAATTCCAAACATAAATCAAAATTATTCAATTTGTAGTGATACAAAAATATTATTTTTTATAAAATATTATATTAAAATAAAAATTTAAATCAAAAATAACATTTCAATTTATTTTAAAATTTTATACTCATTTCAATTTCAATACAAAGAAAATACAAAGACAAAATTATTTTTTTCCATTTGTCCGCTAAAATTATATATATTTTATTAGACATGAAAACTAATAAATAATGGTATTTTAATATTTAAATGAGGAATTATAAAAAAAAAATAATGACAAACTTTTTATTATTTATTAAAGTAAAGTAATAAAATTGTGAGTAGATAAAAATGTTTACTTAGATTGTGGGTGTGTTTGACAATTAGCCGATAGCTGTTAGCTGTTAGCTGATTCAATTAGCTGATAGCTGTTAGCTGATTCAATTAGATGATTTGACTAGCTTATTCGATTAGCTATTTGTATTAAAATGTTTGGTAAAACAACTGTTTGATATTAGCTGTTTATACGTAAAATGATAATGGAGGATATTTCTATTTTATTTTTGTCTCTAATATATTCAATTATATTCTTTTGAGTTTAGAATGTTTAAAATTTTTTGTTATTAGTTATTGAAAATTGTAAAAGTGTTATAAAAATATTTATTTTTATTACAGTTAAATTTAAAAAAATAATATATTTTTATTAAAATATATTAATACTTTTAAAATATAAAATAATAATTTTTTCGTATATATATTTATTATGTTAGTTATCGATTAGTTTATTATATTTATAATTTTCAATAAATTAATTTATTTAATTTATTTTTAGTATAAAATTTGTATAATATAATTTTCATATAAAAATAAATTATTAATATTTATATTTTATATTTTATGTTGATTTTAATAAATTTATATATTTTACAATTAAAATAATTTTTATATAAAAATTATTTATTTTAAATTTATAAAAATAAAACTATATTATAATAAAATATTTTAATATAATCAAAATATATTTATTTGTGTAAAATGCATAATAAATTTTTAAGGGCATACAAGAAATAAAAAAATTTTTCAGAAAAAAAACTATTTCAAAACGCTAGGTAAGTTAGCTTTTCAGAAATTAGCTTTTTTTGGGTCCAAAAAGCTATTCTAAAAAGCTAATTTACCAAACACCTAAATTAGCTTTTTGACTTGTCAAACAGCTAAAAGCTGTTCAATAAAGCTTTAAATCCAATGAGTCCTCCATATATAAAATATGTTGATTCACTTCTTAGCTCGGTCCACCAAATCAGCCCATTCCCTTTAAATCCAAACACCAAGTTTAAATCTTTAACCTTAAGCCCATTAATTGATTAGATTAATTTTGGATAGTTAATTAGATTTAGTGGCATTTGATACAGAAAATAAAATTGCAGCAAAGAATACCAATGAGAGTGAATTTAGTAGAAAATAATGACAATTAATTCTATAATTCAGTTGATAAATATAAAAAATACAGGTATTTAAATGAATATATCAAGAATAAATTATTAATCGGACAATAAAAAAATTTAACTAGTGAGAATTCATACAAAAATTATTGTTTTTTGTGATTTTTTTTAATAATAAATTAGTAATGTTTTATAAGATCAAATTTTAGTATAATTTTTTAAAAAAATAGTAAAAAAATAAATATTTGAATAATAAATTAAACGTGATATTTTATAAGATTATAATAATATACTCCATCCGTCCACAAAAAAAGTATACAGTTACTTTTGGCGCGGTATTTAAGAAATAATAGTATTTTAATTATAGTGGGTAGTTAAAAGTAGTGTAATGACATTTTTGCCTTTGCTTTGGTGTAAAACTAATGATGTGATGTAAAGTAGGGGTATTTGTGGAAAAAAGTAAGATATTTAATGAAATGTTTACTTTGTAATTGGACGTCCCAAAATAGAAACATGTATACTTTCTAGCTGGACGGAGGGAGTAATTGAATAAATATAAAAATTAAATAATACAAAAAATAAAAAATAAAAATAAATATATTGCATCAATTATTTGCGAAATCAGATAATGAAAAATGATTTATTTCTCAACTTTTAATTCTCTTGCTAAACCAAACAAGAGAAATGAGTACTTCTTTAAGGTATGTTTAGTACAAAAAACAAAATTGCAAAGAAATGAAATAGAGAAAAGAATTGTCGAAAAATCAAAATGAAAAAGAGAATGATAATTCATTATTCTGTTTGGTAAAATAGAGAATCCTAATAGAGAATCAATTCTCTTGTTTGATTGCTATATGCATAATTATGATTTTTTCAAAGAATTTTTTTTATTCAAATAAAATAAAAATCATGCTTAAAAATACTCCATCCGTCATAACTTTTACCATTTTCGTATGTCCTACTCCAAAGTATCAATTTCCTATTTTAGAAAAAATAATTATATACTAATACAAAAGTACCCTTTAACTTTTAGTTAAATTACATACATACTATTACATATACAATTACTTTATACAAAAAGCCAAATGGCAAAAATGTCAAAATTTTTTACACATTTCCACTAACCAATAAAATATCATTATTTCTTAATCTATTACAAAACTTCAAAGGGCCCATTTCGTTTGGAACGGAAGGAGTATATATATTAATAATGAAAAAATAATTTATTAATCCAAAAAATCCTAAATAAAGTATTATAAAATTATCAAATAAAATAAAATACTCCAACATTTTAAATAAGCGAAGTAATTATAAAAATACAAACAACTATCCCATGGAACCATCGACAAATGTTTTAATCATGCTAATTTTATCATTTTGGCTCAAGGTAAGAAATGCCCGTGCACGCAATACATCTTTTCCGATTACATCAGTTGCTTTAAAACTTTGTATGATATCAATGTCGGTAAAGCTCTTATCTCTTAACCAACTTTTTCATACAGTTCACGAGCTTCTAAATTTTCTTTGAGATTGACATTCAAAATTCACCAACAATATCTCTAAATTTAACTAATATTTTTTTCATCTCTTTGCACGATTCCCGATATTTTTCAAATCCGTATGTGCTTTTACGTCTCTTACATTTTCTTGCAACTACCGGTCGGTTCATCAAATCGACGAACATCCTGATCAACCTCTTCAACGAAATCAAAATTATCAATATAGTTTGAAAAATTTCTTTGGGTCTTTTGGATAAGATTTTCTTCTTCAAGATCAGTTGCTTAACTACCTGTTGCCCAATCCTTACCAAAATAGAACACAATTTATCATAGAACGGTTTGCCTCAAAAACTTGCAGCACCTTTGTAAGACTACATAAAAATTATAAATAAATTTAAAATAAATATCATTTAATATATATATATATATAAGTGTTTAGAAAATACATTTATGTATTCGTCCCAAACATTGTCCTCAGCAATAATGCACCTTTTTTCTTCATCCATATCGTACACAATACTAAAGTGGGTCTTCCATGTTTTCATCCTAGATTTTATATGTGGTTGTATTTTCAAACTAGAGTTACGAAGATTTATATCTAGTAATTGTTGAACTTCATTTAAATAACCCGGTTTAAAACCATTGTCAGCACCCGCATACTTTCAAGATGCATGTAAATCTATCAATGCATCAATCAACTTAGTATTTTCCTTATTTGTCTAAGCATGTTTGCTTCTTCTGATATTTCTCATTACACTTGAATTTGCCATATCTATTTAAAAATATATAAACATAATAAGCACATTTACATATACAAATTACTAATACAATTGAGCATTATTATAATGCACATTTACATACACAAAGTACAAATATAATATAGTATGTATTGTAGCAACACTATCTTTTGCACGAGGACAAATGAAAAATGCAAAATGTATGAAAAAAAATAATAATAAAACTATCTCTAAGGAAAATTAATTATTGGTACATCTAGCGTTTAAATTGTTAAATATTTCATTAGCTAAAATATCTCTACGATTAGTCTATTCTTGTGAAGTCTCAATTGTAAAAATAATATTGTCATGATCGTTTGTAAGTTGCGTGTGATTTGTTGAGACTTCATTATCAATGGGATCTTCACTCATTGTTGTTCATATAAAATTCTGTAACAAGAAAAAAACAATGATGATCCGTGGCATGGACTCTATGGGATGATATGCGTTATCACACAAAATAGTCTATCTAGCTATAATTAATCCAAAACACCTTTCTACAATATTCCTTGCCGATGAATGTCTCATATTGAATAACTCTTTGGCACTCATAGGTAGACGAGACCACTCATTGAGATGGTAACGTTGACCTCGATAAGGAGTTCAAAATCCTTCACCATTCGTATAAACCACAAAGGTAGTATGTTCCTACAATTAATCATAGCCTCTATGTTAATTAATATACAATTATATATATATATGTATATTATTTAAAGAGATCACATTACCTGAGTTATTTTAAGACCATTAAGTCTACTAATT